CAGTAGGCACTACCACTTATGTCAATTCATGATTAATACTTTTTATATGTTTATGTATTGAGAATTATAAATCTTAATTCTATTCCATCGAATGCAATCAATTCAAAGAAAGAAAAGAAGAGAAACACTCATGAACATACAAGATTACATCCCATCGTGCCGTTACAGTTATTCACTATGATAAAAAAAATGGTTTATAAGAGAAAATCACACTCTTATCTTCTCTAGCCTTTCGTTCTCTCTTTTTTATGATAACCATAAAGGTCAAGGTCAACTCCCTATTTATAAGATAAATTCGGGTAAAATCGAATTTTATAAGGAGTCAAATTTCTTCATAGAATTTTATAAGAATACAACTTCCTAAACCGTCCTTAGATTAAATTTTGGTCTAGGGACAGGAGGGTTCCAATCCCCACGGTGATCTCCCCGCGATGGTCGATCTACGACCAATTCGACGAAGTGATAATAATGAGGATCGACAATAATTAGGCTACATAACTTAAAATTATGAACATTACAATTCCACACAAGGAGAGTCAAGTCTTTGAATGTCTTGTATAAAAAGCATCACTTTACTTTTGTGATATTTGAATCAGTGATCCTAATCATACAAGTTCGAAAAGTCTAACAAATGTCATTCTCATAATTTACAAATTAGATTAAACAAATGAGAGAAGGCATTGGCGAAAAAGCTATCTTGTCCGTCAAATAATGTTATAGGAGGGATTGAGCCTCGTTCTTTGACTTGGCTTGTTATCATCCCACGCTAATTTATTAATTATTATCCCACCTAAACAATCACCAACCAAAGTATTTGAAACCAAAATTCATTTTTTTTTTCAAATTTATTTTCAACCACACATTCACAAAATAAAGTATTCTGCACATAAATCCAAAACTTTTTTATTTTTTTAACAATAATTTTTTAAAAAAAATCAGTATTTCAAAACTAATTTTCTCTAAAAAAAAAAAAGAAAAAACCTCTTTTTAAGGTTCTTAATTAGCAAATGGTCGTCTCAAAACTCAAAAGTCAATTAAGCAATGCTCTACGATATTTAGTGACAAGGAAAAAGTCAATTATATCATAGAACTCAAT